TTCCCAAATAAGTGAAGCGGTCAACGTGCTCTACCACTTCACTTCCTATTTTTAAACTAGGCGTCGATGTAGTCCAGTCCTGTAACATCATCTTGCATTTGGCGGGAGCGAATCGCATGCCAAACATTCGTAGATTGCGGCTCAAGGTGTTTAGAAGACTCTGCATTTCGTCAGCGTCTTCGCCTAGAAGGACTATATCGTCTGCATATTCCAAGTCAACGAGATTATTCCCTGGTAGCAAGTCAATCCCTGAGTCGCTGAAGTCACCTAGGGTTAAGTCCATTAACACATCTATGATGAAGTTGAATAGAAAAGGAGATAATGGGCATCCTTGACGGACACCACTGGTCGTCATCAGTTCAGATGACAGCTCGCCGTAAGCCCTCACCTGGCTGTATGAGTACGAGTAGAGTGCCTTAATCAGTGCAATATATTTTCTTGGAATTCCCTTTACAGCCAAGCATCTCCAGAGAACTTCCCGATCGACAGAGTCGAATGCTGCCTTTAGGTCAAGAAATATAATGACTGTTGGACGCCGGTAGGAATGCCTATGTTCTAGAATCTGTCGGAGGGTGAAGATATGATCAATACACCCTCTTCCTGGTCTAAAGCCTGCCTGGCTCTCTCGTGTTTGTGCTTCCCGAGCACCACTCAGTCTACGCATGATTATTGAGCCTAAGACTTTAGATACTATATTAGTCAAGCTAATCCCTCTGTGATTATCACAGGAAGACTTGTCTCCCTTCTTGTATATGGGGATAATCAGTGACTTACACCAACCCGATGGGACTTCTTCTGATTCCCAGACGCTGCCTAGTACCTCAGTTAATCCGGACAGTAAGCTGTCTCCACCGTACTTAAATACCTCTGGAGTCATTCCATCAGGTCCCGCTGCTTTGCCTAGTTTCAGATTGGTGACAGCTTTAGTAACCTCAGTTAGTGACGGAGGACCTGTGTTTATATCCCATTCAGGGAGGTGTTGGATGCTCGGAAGGTTGAGCGTGGCTGTGGGCAAATTAAACTGCTCCTCATAATGCTCTTTCCAACGATCCAGTCGTCTATCCTGGGAGCTAATTATAGTGCCATTTTTTTCCGAGATTGTCTCACTGATGATTTGTCTTCTCCCACCCGTTTCCCTGATGAGTCCAAAGAGTTGCCTGGTGTTGCCTATCCTCGAAGCTTTCTCCATCTCTTTGGCTTTTGTCGCCCACCACTGTTCACGGTCCTTGCGGAGACTTTTCGTAAGTTTCCTCTTGTGCAGCTTTCGCTCCTCATTGAATTCGGAGCTCGCCGGAATAAGTCTTCTAGCATCTATCAGTTCGGATGAGGCGGTGGAGATCCAGTGGTTTTTACTCACCTTTGGGTTTACCTTATTCACAGCTTTTACAGCTGTATCTATGGCTGCCTGGATATTTTTCCAAGCTTCTTCAGGGTGAGCACAGCTGTCGAACACAGATATGTGTTTAGCTAGTTCTTCCTCAAATACGGATTTAGTTTCCTGATCGAGCTGGGGACGTGATGGTTTTACCGCCAGCTGTTTCCTACGTCCGTTCAGTCTTAAGCAGGCGATCCTATTAGCCTAGAACTGAGCATTCCTAATAAGACACGAGTAACCGAATATCCGTTAGTCGTAGAAGAAATTACTAGCATGGCAAAAGCCGCTGAACGTTCTGTCGAGCCCTCAACGAAAACTCATTCTGGACGAAACGTGAGATTCCCAGAACATCTTCACACCTGTATCGGATAACTGAGTGATACGACTCACTCGACTTTTATTCATTTGTGGCATTTATTTACTTTTTTCTTTCAGACACCCACCAATGTTTTTATACTGCATCCCGCAACACAAGTAAAAGGCTTTTCTATAACCGTACATGTTACACCCACTAAAATATTAGATATATACTCTTTTCGATGTTCTATTTTTCGCATTATTTCACTGAATGGTAGATGTGTATCATTCTTCAAACATTATTTTTGGTACATTTTCCTCAACAAGGTTCTCAGCATTTTTTTCTTTTATTTCAGGTGCGATGGGCACTTGACAAGAAGCAAAGGAAGCACGAAATACAACGGACAAACGTTAACGAAGTTAAGCACGTGTGTGCCAATTTCCTTACTTCTTTATAAGTACCAGGTCAATAAAAGTGACTAGTTACGAGCTTGACAGTAGTTCGAATACCTGGGTGGGATAAGCCATGCAACGTATTGAAGACGTTACGGCGATAGCTTTTAGGCACTATGGGGAGAGGAGTACTCGTGGAAACGTCACATAGAATAGTATCTCTTCCCATGCCTAAAGGTTACTTGGCTAGTTGCAGAGTTGTGTTTCGACAACTCATGTTAGAGCTCAGTATCTTCTCCTTAATGAGTAGACAGTTTCACAAAGTCTGTGCCATCTATTTGGGTGAGGGAACAAATGGGCGACAAGACATCTACCAGTGTTGTTCACTCCGGATACAAGGCGAATATTCAATGTAAGCCGTGATTCATGATTCTCTTGGTGAATACTTATCTGAAGTTGAGCTCAGAGAGTACGTCAGAGGTTTGTGGTGAGTGAAAATTATAAATTCACGATCCTCCACTGAATGTCGAAAATGACGTATAGCACAGTACATAGCCAGAAGTTCTTTACCAAATGTGCTGTACTTCGTGTCTGCTAATTGAAGGCGCCTCGAGAAACAGGTGAGTGGTTGCCACTCTTTGTTAACTAGTTGTTACAGAGCTGCGCCGATTGCGGTGTCTGATGCATCAACCGAGATACTTAACGGTGCCGTTGAATCCTGATACACTAAAGCGTGGCATCCGCAATAGATTTTTTAACATTTCGAGGAGACGCGCCGAGTCCGATGGACTTGTTATTTCCTCGAAGAAAGTCCGTTAATGGCTGAATCAGAGAGGCACAGTTGTGAACGAACAGTCAGTATTAACTTGCCAAGCCAGCAAAAGTGCGAAGACTTTTCACTGTTTGTGGCTCTGGAAAGTGCAGTATCGCCTCAACTTTACTAGCCAGTGAATGAATGCCTTTACCGTCAGTGGTGTGGCCCAGACAGTCGAGTGGGTCGACGCCTGTCTAATACTTTTGAATATTTAATGTTTACAACATGTAGGCGTAACCTTTCAAATGCCCAGTCCAAGTGTCTAAGGTGAGTTTCCACGTCTGGACTGGGAATGAGGCTGTCAATGTCGAGGTCTAACTACACTGGACTTCACACTGTCCTTGGAAGACTTTCAGAAACTATGCGTAATAACTAACACGAAAAAACGAATGCAAATTGCTGACTCAAGAACCGTTTATTCTTGCACCAATACAGAGCCAACCATTAGGGTTATTGTACACAAAGTCTAAGGATAAATGTTGTAACAATAAATCACAATAATACTTCTGATAGTTTTTCTCTGTCTTCCAACGAACAGCGAACGATGAGACGATGACTGCAGTAATGATGACTCCCGGCAAAATATAGAGTTGGGTTTGAGCAAACAACGACGAATTGATCGTTCAATCTTCAACTACAGTGACAATGACAGACAAGACAGATTGTGAAACGGTTATGTACTGCTGCTGAGTGGTTAATTAGAGTTTTCCCCGTCGCCAATTATGTTATGTACTCGTCGAGTAGTTAATAGTCCTGACGCTGAAAGAGGGAAATCAGAAGACCACCAGGTTTACGATGATACTTGTATTTTCCAGACAAGGAAAATATATGTCACACTAGTGTGTGAGTGAAATGGTACGTAGCGTAAGAAAAAGTGTGTGAACAAGAATACAAAACAAAAGTATATATGAAAATGGCTAATACACACGAACCAGTAAATAGCCAGTCTTAACATGATTGGTTGTAATGTCATGTGACAACAAGGTCAGACATGTTTATTTAGTTAGTGGACAGACAAAAGCATATTGTCAGTTATAATGGATGGAATATCGATCCATACACACATAGCAAAATAGAATAGACTGTCACAAACAAAACACACATCATGTGGATACATATCAGAAACCGCGTGTGACTTAACTGTTACATGGCTGGCTTGGTTGTACAATCACTTATAGTGAAGTGTAACTTGATCGATTTTTGTTAGGATGAATTCTTACCTGCTAGAGTGTGTAACAGTTTTTTTGTTAAATAATAACATGCATTTGCTAACTCGGAACTGCACCGGTTAACATCTGCTCCTGAGTTCACTGCTGAGAAGCTGTCTGGAATATTTTGAGATTTGAAATTTCAACCCAATTAACGTACAGTCAGTCTTTCTTTAACACAGCCTACGATCACTATTCATAGAATTAAAGGTTCTCAATTAACCATGATTAGATCAACTCATACTGCAGACACTAAAGAACCCTCAGCCATTTCATAAGTTTATCTGTCTACTTCATTTTGAAATCTGAATACAGTTTAACATTAAATATTGTTTATTAAGTTGAGATTCTAGTCCTGTTTGTGAACTTAGTGACAATATTTGGCTCGTTACCAGCTGTTTCGAATGAATCATTCGTCAGAATACTAAGGAACAAACTTTTCACCACCAAACTAACATACAAATGAGCATTCTCAGGAATATTGTTAAAAATAATCTCATGGTGAACATTTTGATTCAACAAATGTTTCAGGATAAACCTCTGTAAAAGCAGTGGAATGGCAATGATAAAATTGTATGGTGACGCAATAAAGCTTTGTGGCCTTTATTGAGTTTTATCAAGAAATCTAAACAGTCAGTTCTAGCTTTGATTCATTAAACAGGTTGAATCAGTGACCTTCAATTCTAAGACTTCAAAGCCTCACTATAGTTATCCACTTAAAAGTATTTAATGATGAACACTGTGCTCACAATTATGCCTTGTTGAATGCACATATATACATATCCTTCTTAATGTGTGTCTATGTGTGAAGAAAGTAAATGGACTATGACCAGTGAGTATCGATGATGGTGTTGATCAATTCGCTGAATAAAATTAAGATATATATATATGTGCGAAATCAATTTATTCTTTTCTAACTCATCAATTCGGCCTGAGGAGATTCTTTGTGTAAGTCAGTTACTCCTGTTTCCGTTTTCTTATTTTCTGTTTGTTGGATTCATTCTTGAATTGACCTGAGAAGCGTTTATCTCATGTGTATCTCAGTATCGTACTGACTGTCATCAAAATTGTAGCCCACAAAAGCTATCATGTAGCGATCTGAATTCTAGGAAACAATCTTCCCGTTCTACTGAAAAGCTAATGAGTTCTTCCATGAGTAACATACAGTCCAGAAATGTCATGACGATGTTTAAAAAAAATAGTCAAAGAAATAGCAATAAAATCAGAGGTGTTATTTAGTATTATTAAGCTTACCAAAGCAAAGAATTACCTCAGCGATTGCATTAGGTGACTATGCAGATCGGGGAATATTCCAGTATAACTCCGGTACTGTACAGCGAGATTAGTTAACCAAACCTCAACCGTGAGCTCTGCATGACAATCAAGTGGAGTATTCCTAGCAAGGTGTCTTTTGCGACTTGCTATCTCCTATTCAGTATGGAGGGAAAGGAGCTGTTGATAAAAGTGTGCAGTATTTATTTTATTATTGTTATTTCCTTTAATTCCTGTCTGTCTGTCTGTTTTCGTTTTCGACATAGAACTTTGCACAAATGTGCGGAAGTTCAAGTCGCCACACTCCGTGTAGCACGCGAAGCAAGAGAAGAAATTACAAGAAAAGACTAATAGAAACAGTGAGCAGAGTTGTGAGACAAAGGAGTAATAAAGAAATACAAAACAGTTTCATTGGAGATCATAAGTCACAGGGAGTGGATGCATCTGCGCCACTGAGAACGGTTTTCAGCCATGTCACCAATTGTTTCCAACCATAGATTTTTACCGTCCCGAGGACCCCAGCCTGGAAGTCTACACCTTCCTACGTGGCTTAGACCAACTGTTGTGGATTTCATTGACTGGTGAAGCCATGTTTTTGTTTGACCTCCGCTAGCTTTTTTCCAGCCTGACCCTATATCCGCTAACATAGCTCGTCGAGGGAGGCGATGGCTTGGCATACGTAACACATGTCCTAACTATCTCAGTCTTTGTAACTTCACAATTTCGTCGATTGATTTCCCCTGTTTACCTAGAACTCGACGCCTAACCTCCATGTTGCTCACCTTATTATACCACTTCACACGGGAGATAGAACGCAGGCACCTATGATCCAAGACAGCTAGCTAGTCTTTTCATGTCTTCCACTCTCAGTGGCCAGGTCTCACAGCCAGCCATAAAGGAGGACGGAGCGGACTGATGAGCAGTACACCCGCCCTTTGGTCGATAGTCGAACATCTCGTCTACGCCAGAGTCGGCGTAAACTAACAAATGCGAAACGAGCCCCTTGTATTCGTGCTGAGATTTCGTCAGAGATCGACCCGTTGGCACTAGCTGATGGTACTTCCCAAATAAGCGAAGCGGTCAACGTGGTCTAACACTTCACTTCCTATTTTTAAACTAGGCGTCGATGTAGTCCAGTCCTGTAACATCATCTTGCATTTGGCGGGAGCGAATCGCATGCCAAACATTCGTAGATTGCGGCTCAAGGTGTTTAGAAGACTCTGCATTTCGTCAGCGTCTTCGCCTAGAAGGACTATATCGTCTGCATATTCCAAGTCAACGAGATTATTCCCCGGTAGCAAGTCAATCCCTGAGTCGCTGAAGTCACTTAGGGTTAAGTCCATTAACACATCTATGATGAAGTTGAATAGAAAAGAAGATAATTTAATTCCTAGAGGAACATATGGATTCAGCTGCCCATCTCAATTGCCTTCGGTTTTCTGCCAACTTTTTCAACCCGCTCCAAGTCTGCCCACACGCTTTCATCTCCTCTCCATATGACCGCCTCCAAGTCAACCCACCGTGGGACGACAAACTCGCCGCTTCCCTTTCAGGTTCCACTCGAGCAATGACTTGTCTAGTGATGTCACTTGATGGTTTCCTCAGAGTATGGCCAATCCGCCTACCTCCATTTCTTCCTGCCTATTTGTTTCACAATCGGCTCCTGCTGAGTTGGTTGGCTCATTGCCAGAGATCCCTGTTGCTGATCTCTTCTGGCCGGCCATCTGATCTTGAGTATTGAGCGAAGACAACTGTTGATGAAGGTCTGAAGTTTGCTGGAGATACTCTTTATGACTCGCAGTGCAAGTCTCTTATCCGTATGGTGAGTAGCACTGACTGACTTCACATTGGAGTTGAAAATCCGGATCTTATTTTTGATGCTGAGTGCTGAGTGTTGACCTCCACACAGACTTGAGAGTAATCAAAGCTTGTCTTGCTTTACCGATTCTGGCTTTGATATCCTCGTCAGTTCCGTTAGCCTGTAGTTGAAATGATGCTTCCCAGGTAGGTGGGTAGGTAAAGGAGGTTGTTTCTTCAAGGTTCCTCCCATTTATGCTGGCTGATTATTGTCTGTTGTTGTTGTTGCTGTCGGTGTTGGCCAGGAATCTTCATCACCTCTGTTTTATCTGTGTTCACCTGAATTCCTGCCTGTCTTTGATGCTTCTTCTACTGTCAACTTGTTGCCTTTCACTTGCATACCTTCCAGTTTGTGGGAAATCAGAGATATATCATCAGTGAAATACAGATCCTCCAAGCTCTACTTTTGTGTGAGTCCATTTTATGCTTGTTTCGTCATTGCCCCACCCGCTGTCTGTCGCATTATCCAATCTACTGGAATCATGAAGATCATTGGTGATAGTAGGCAGCCTTGCCTCACTCCTGTCCTCACTTCGAAGGCTTCCGTAAGTTTCCCGTTGTGGATTACTTGTCATGCAGCATTGTCGTATAACTGTTGGATGAGATGTATAGCTGTCGATGGGAACCCTTGGTAGTAGCGAAGTAATTGCCAAATGACCTCTCGATCGACGCTGCGCTGTCGAAGGTCTTTTCATAGTCGATGAAGTTGAGTGATATAGAAAGGTTACTGCCATTCCAAGCTTTGCTCAATGATGATCCGTAGAGTGGCGATTTGATCAATACATGATTTGTTTCTCCTTAATCCGGCCTGTTCCGGTCGAAGTTTTTCATCCAGGTTGGCGTGTTTGATTCTCTCCAGGATGATGCGGCTTAGTATTTCGCTTGGGATGGACAGGAGCATAATTCCGTGCCAGTTTTTACATTGACTTAAGTCTCCTTTCTTTGGCAGTTTAAATAAGTATCCGTTCTTCCAATCCTCAGGTACTTTGCCCTCTTTCCGCACCTTCTCCAGCAATGGCGTCATCAAGTCCGCTGTTGTCTCTGGGTCCATTTTCAAAGCTTCTGCTGGGATTCCATCTGGTCCTGCTGCTTTTCCAGCTTTTAGCTTCTTGATTGCATTCAGGACTTCTGATTTCGTCGGGGGATCAATGTTCACTAGTAGTTCTGCTTCCATTGTTGGTATTGTTGGGCGCGTTGTAGGTGGCGGACGATTTAAAAGTCTTTTGAAGTGTTCAGCCCAGTGTTTTCTTTGCTCCACCTCTTTGGTGATTGACTTTCCATTGTCATCCTTTATTGGCTTAATCTGTGTCGAACTTTTGCCCGATAGGTACCTAGTTGTTTGGCAGAGTGTGGCGAGGTCTCCTTTGCCTGAAGTGCAGCTTGTTCTGCTTCACTTGCCATGGCTTCATAATTTTTTTCTTTTGTCTTCCCTGGCACTCTTCTTCACTCTCTTGTTCAGCGTATTGTAGCTTACATTCAACTCCTGATTTTGTTGCTCCCCTCACCAATAAGTTTAAGGCAATCAATTTAATTTATGAAATTCTAAAACAGTCAGAAGACGTAGATGATACTAAACGTGTAATGGTATTCGGGTATTATGATGACACACGTTCCTTTCATATACATTTATACAAAAAAATCTCAGAATCTCAAGTGTCGAAATTCATCGAATACGGGTGAAACTTTTCAATTTAAGGATGACAAATAAAGTGTGCGAAACATAAGAAGGTGAGAATATTGCTGGGTAAAAGTGTAAGGTATTTTCCAATTACGTTCAGAGTGATAACAAATAATATTTGAACATATAAAACCAGTTTAAACATATAATACACACCTGTTGTACTATTGGGTCTACGTCAATATTGTAATCATTTTTATAGCCTCTGTGAATGACATACTAGGCGATTGTCGACTTCTGGCAACTAACTCCAGAGTTAGTTAGCTTAGATGACTTGAAAATTCATTCACTAGTCGGAACATGTAGAAATCGATTTGTTGGACGTCTGACCACTTGTATGTGTGATTTGTCATGTATGGTGATAGGTGACAGTATTTCTTCTGATGATGTGACAGTTTACAGGACAAGGTGTATTTATCTTCTCCAATGAAATGAATTTAGCTGCATAGGAACTTCCACTGCTCTGTGTCTTCGTTTAGTGATGACGATTTGATAAACACCTTTGAAATGAAATGTGACATTAACGTCATATATATTGGTTGCTGACTAGATTGATGAAGGCGACCTACTGAGATTTATATTGCGTTGGATCGATTCTATAAGAAATCTATTATCTGATAATATTTTAGTATGGCTTCAAGCTTTTTATTCAGTGGTATCGTCTGAATGCATACACACTGACTCACACCATTTTAAACTGTCAAGACTGTCAAGCAAACATTACTTCAGAATTTCATCATGAGCTTACATTAGTTAGAGAACCACTGTAAAACCTGGGAGTACTGGACAGCTGTTTCGTCATCCTATTTTGGGACTCTTCAGCACTACGCACCCACCATAACTCGAACCGAGGACCTTCCGTTTACAAGGCGAGCTCGTAGACCATTAAGCCACTGTGACCCGATCCAATAGCCAGCCCGTGAATTCCAACTTCTGCCAATTCACGACAGCGCGACCGCTAGCCAATGTCTTCGGCGAGTATTTGTTCTCACACCCGACCCGCTGCACCCTACTGGTCATGACTTCCCACTGGAACCCAGGTAACTACCTACCTGAATAGGGCCAGTCGCCATTGAGCATCTCATTGGTATTTAAGTGTTGGTTTGTAGGGATTTGGTTGGTTTCAGGTGGGTGCGTACTGCTGAAGAGTCCCAAACTAGGACGAAACAGCTGTACAGTACTTACAGTCAGCTCATGATGAAATCCTGAAACCAACCAAATCCCTACAAACCAACACTTAAACATTATTTCCTTGAACACTTTCTGGCAACAAAACCGTACCGATAGTCACCGTGTAAACCCCTCAATTATTATTTTATCTCAATCGTGTTGTGTTAACATCGTTTTTTCCTTTGAAATTTCAGCACATCACGGTATGATCCTTTCCATAGCATCCTCTACGCATACAGCTCATAACAATCAGACAAAGCAAAGGGGTTTCGGAAGCATTTTTGTTTGGGTAGGGACATGATTATTTGCTCAATATATATATATATATATATATATATATATATATATATATTTGTGTGTTTGTAGTTCATCGTCGATTTGATTATCATGATACTCATGACAGTGGGTGCTGTCGTCTTGATTGATAAAATGTAGGATTAGATTAATATAGATTAAATAATATTACCTCTTTTAGACCTACAATAAAAGAATTCTTCAAACGTCATGACTATGTGATATACATTCTTCTGTAAGTTCTGCACTCAGTAATGATTACTATTTTTCGGTTTCTCCGTGGAATGCAATACCTCTGATTCACTTTTTTTTCTCCGCAGCCCTTTCTGAATAACTCCCCGGATTTCTATAAACCTTCATTTTCTGCTCACACAGTGTCATCCATCTGAGGAGTAAAACCGACTTGTTGTGGTCTGAAAGCAGGAAATAGATCATTTCGTTCTCCTGCATAGCTGATAATCATTCCTTGAGGCATGTACAGCCAGAGTACACCTCAAAGTAAGCAAAATGACGGCTAGATGTTGATCGATCCATGTGGATCTATTCAACAATGCTTCCATTAGAAACTCAAAATTGTTTCAACACTACCTACTGGCAACCATATAGGATAGATGGGTTTCTACTACAAAAAGAAGTAGTGAAGAACGAAGTGAGTTCACCAAAGTTAAACGTCAATAAGTGTCTAAGAATCAAGTAATTTTTTTTTGAAACAAGGTGGGTTCAAAAACCTTGTCCACAGTTCAGCCTTAGACTATCCCTGATATGATTATGAGTGGCAATTAATTGTGCTCAAAACGCCATCAGTAAACAATACTACATACCACTGTGAGACTTTATCAAAACAAATTTTACCCATAATGGAAGTATCCTTCATTCAGTCATATAAAAGATACGAAGGCGTTCAGCGAAGAGACTCTTTTCGGCGAATTCATTCACTGAGCTGTACAATCGCATATATATATATATAATTTTCATTGTGTGTGTGTGTACATTAGATTTATAAAGTTTAGATAATTATGTAATGTAAGTATTATTTGGCTTGGAGACAAACGTTAAGATTGAAAATAAAACAGAATTGATTAAGTGAATTGGATGACGTAATACAGTTGAGTAGAATTCAGAGTAGGTCAGGTTGGCAACAGTGTTAATGAGCGGTGGTTAAAATTAAATAAGGGTGGGGTTAGAGAATAATACAGTTGAAAATAAGTAAGTTCATCGGATGACGTAAAATAGTTGACTAGAAATTGGACGTGGGTCAAGTTAACAACATTGTTAATGAGGGTAGAGATTACAAAATGGTGGGGTAGAGAATAATATAAATGAAGATGTGAAATAATAAAATACAAAAGACAAAATAATACAATTAGTAAGACTGAAATTAACAAAGATTACGTCCATTGTAAATTTAATGAATGAACGAATTTCTTTTGTATGCAGAGTTCAGGATTTAGCAGATGAATTGCCATTGCTTCTGCGATGTGGAGAAGTTTGATCCGTACACTTTTAGCAAGATTGCCATGTATTCTGCGGATAACTTTGAAGTTTATTTCTGGTTTGACTTGGTGTCCAGAGTCGATCAAATGTTCAAGGATCGAGCTGCGGGGGCATCGGTTTTCTCCTTTATAAAACCATGAAAGTAAATGTTCGTTGACGCGTTTGGATAGCGAATGCTGAGTACGGCCGATATACCTGGCTCCACACGAGCAGGTGAATTGGTAGATGCACATAGATGAGATCCTTCATTCAGTCTAACAAAATTGCAGTAGCTAAACAAGACATTGCCAATGTTTCATATAATCACAAGGAAAAATAATGAGGATCAAGTCAACATATATGAAATTGTAAGCACAGTTGTATACAATCTAGAAGAAAGGCGAATAATTAGTTGAAACATCCAAATAATTACAAATATCGTGATAACATCGTGCATACGGGACTTTTCAAATAAGTATTCACTTACAGTATTAGGTCTCCTCTACACTCATCCTGTTTTGTTTTATTTGCTAGTGTGTTGTTGATTTGATTTGTTGTCTTTCCCAGTACTTAACATTGTACATTGATCAAAGCAATTTCGTCGCCATTTATATTTGACCCTACTCCTCCTACTTCACCAACACGCTTTACTCCGAAGATGTCGATGCACAGTTGATCATTGTCTGTTTTCTTCTATCTTCCTAAATTAAATAATTATACAGGTTTGTTCTTAAACCACCTGTAGAAACGTCTAATTTTTTGTTCTATTTGTTCTGTTGCCTGATGTAAATGTGTCCTTTGTAGTTCGGTGTTTCTGAGAGTTGAACCTGAATTTTTGTTCATCTTAGCCTTTTCCAAAAGTCTTCCAAATGACTTTGGAGGTCCAAGTCGTCACCTGCTTCTCCTCCCAATTTTGTCTCCAGATGGATACTTTGGCAAGTTCTTGAAATAGAGATCAGTTCTATCCGATTTTTGCTATGCCAGTCTAATGTGAAACATACTGACCTGTGAGTATCATTGAATAAAGAGAAGTCCCCATAGGGGTAGCTATTCTAGTTCTTATCTCTGAGTGCCTCTCAAACGAGGATTAGTTTTTAAGATTTGCTGTCTGCTCCTCATTTTGCATGCATATCACGCATTTCATTTCTGATATCTCCAACTGGGTTAACGGTGTGCTACTCCTTCACGTTTTCGGTAGAATGCATCCTTAATCTCTTGCTCTCCGTAGTATAGCATTGAATACATTTAACAATGTTTATATATTATATCTTTATTCTGTAAACCCAAAATAGATTGACTCACAATACATAACAACCTTCTAAGCTGTTAGTGAAATTATGATAACCATCTTCGCTTTATTCAATGTGTAAAACATGAGCACTGTGGTAGAAAGTAATTCCATATTAGTTTGTTTATTTTGAAATAGTATCATTTACTGGATGAAGTTTTGAACAAAATTTATTGTTCATAATCATATCAATTATAAACACACAACTTTGGAACTTGAGTTTTATGGTTTTCTTTGTTCTCTCCTATTTGCCGTCGTAGGGATAGTAGGATTTTCCAAATATGTGTGACAGGTGTTGAATCACTCCTATTACACGTATTTGCAGTTTACTCGATAAACAAAGCTTCTGTTATCAATCTTTCTCTCCACACTTTGACATTAGATCATAAAAATCTCATTTTATCCCATCCTTTTATACGGTTATGTGTAGTCGCTGAACTATTCTCTAGATTTCTTATCTTATTTGGGTCAACCAATCTAGATTTTGCTAAGTTTTTATGTTCAGCTAGTCTGACTGCCCCTGTTCTACTAGTTTGACCTATGTATTTGACCTCACTGACAATCATTCCAGCAGGATATCAGCTAAACTACACTGTTTTGTTTTAAAGGCTCCACAGGATCTTTTGACTGACAAAGTTTGTTTCTAATTCAGTTTGTGGGTATGAATGGCACTTTTATTCCTGCATAAGGTTTCCAAGTTTCCTTCATTTTATGGAATTACTGCTGATGATTTAGATTCCTCATTGTTGGTATTGTCATTATCCTGCGTATGTTTGGCATGCATATCATCAATAATATTACTAATACAATTATTATTATTATTCGTCGGCGACATTGAAGTAGATTTTAAATCACCAGTTTTCGATTAAGGCTTGAACATCCACTCTCCGTGCATGTCTAGCAATTCTATACCATGTTCTTTCATCCCGCTCGCAATCTCGAAACTCCTGACAGGCTTAATTGGCTGAGAGCATTGAACTACCATTTCATGTTACCATACTTACTTTAACAATCATCGAAAAAGAGATGCAGTAAGTGAACAGCTTTTCGAAAGCTTCTGTAAATTATTCATAGTCATGTGGAGATTCAAACACTAATCATATAATGAATAATGTCGAATAACTGTACACTGTCTGAGATGAATTATTGATATTTGTCAATTCATTTTAGATCAGTTAGTGGCGTCCTACTAATGGTAGTTATATTTGTGAGAAAAATTCAGTCGTACTATCTTGCTACTCGTATGGTGCTTGAAACTGTGGTAAGTTTCAATCTGATTTGATCTCACGTGGAAGCCACGGGTGTTGTAAGAATTCGCAAATGTCTGCGACAGCGGTTATGCATTGTTTCTTAGACCTAATTTCTCTCAACTGCTACATTTATGTTTACAGCAGAGTGTGGTTTGTATTTCCCACTAATTATGGCTTTGGCACTTTATTGGATTTGGACTGTTTCAACCTACCAAAATAATTCGTATCTCTCACTGCCATTTCGAGCATATTTATATATGTTTATATTCAACTGCTGTCACCCATTTTACGCTGTTTATATGAGATGGTAAAAGCTCTACGCAAACGGTGTGTATTCTTATCTTCTTGCATAACCAGTTCGGTGGTATCGTATTGTATCGTGACGTTGTTACTTGCCATTCAAAAGGTCGGAAATATTTAAGCGCAAAGTACATATTGTATATCCTGTCATATCACACATAACTGAAAACATTTCGCGATGTGAGGGTAGAAAATCCTACTTTCATGAAACACCATCATTAATGATGGTAAAATAATATCAAACTAATGAAGAAACTGAGCACAATCTGAAGGAAAGCGCCACTTGAATGCTGACAGATACATAGTGAAAACCTGCTTTGTTATCACTAGTTTACATGTAGTTCGCTAAGACAGCAGAGGACGTCATCATCTGAATTAAGCTTATAATTATATTCCCCGGAATATGGAATTCATATGAAGTCATCGGAAAGATGAAAAAAGAGCTTCGATTGCATCATGCATATTCATTCCAAACTCAGTTTTTTTTTTATGAACATGCATACATCGACTTTCAACCTTCCAAGTTACCTCTTCGGTATGTCTGAATCATTCCAAGAATAACTGAATTTTACCATCTTGGTGATAAATGAAGGACTATTACGGAATCCAAGTATGGCTATGATAAGTCCAGGATGCTTTTAACTTCACAAGAATATCGATACACCACAAAAGAATTAGTCCGTTATAACTCCTATTGGATAGCTTAAATAAATTGACGCGTCCTCCATCCACTAGGAAGTTATCACATTGCTGAAAGTATGCACTTGATTTCTTTATTTGTCAAGTAATCCTTATTAAATTTCTATGATAGGTTTTACTGTGGTCTGTGATCTTTGCTATTGTATTCCCATCAATTAAATGGTCAGATGCATTGATATCGCTGGGTACAACGATTACGATAACAATTTCGGTGGTCATTCTGAGTTGGAAATTATCACCATTGAATTGGAAGGGGTTTATCGTTTTCACTTCAATATCAATCGGCATTGCCGTTTTGGCCATTGTTGCAGCGATTTGTTATTACTTCTTCCACAGTAGAAACGACTTAAAAAGAAAGGTAAATTCATGTAGATGAAAAGTGAAATATTATGAAAAACTTATGAAATAAGATGAAATCTCTCTTTGATTTCCTTGTTATTTTTCTTGTTGAATAATATTTCTAAATTGAATGTGATATTATGGACCATACGAACAAATACTTACAGCTTGTTGGCGCTTAATTTAACATTGATGTTGTTTACACAATATGAATGGATATTGATTTGTTTCGTTACAATTTGTACAACTAAAGACAACATTGAAATGACATCGTAACAACAACAACCAAAGATATGACTGTGATGTAAATAAATAACTTCCCAAATTAGTCAGGTTTCATTTTGAAAACAGTTTTGAAATGATGAGCAAGTGATTGGTCGAGTATGTGACATACCTACACGTCATTCAATATGTGTTTATTAGTTGAGATTGTAAATTGCTTTCTCAGTGAAATGACGAATATTCATTACTACGGTAACATTGTTTATCGCCTTGGAAGCTATAGCGATTAAGTTGTCAAATAGCAGTAAACCTGAGTACTTTCGATTGTGAGTAATCAACTTTTCTACATTTCTTTTCAATTTAGATAAGCTGCTTTGCGATGGTTGTTTTAATCGAGCTATCTATAATCATTGTAAGTTTGTGATTTTGTCAGATCATTGATAGCAATTGAATTTACAGATAAATAATACGTAGGACATCAGGGTACTTGATAGTAATACACTGTCAGCTTAAGTCTTGTTATTACTCAGATAATCCTTTGTAACTCTCAAAATTACCAGGTAACATAATTATGACATGAACGAAATATATATAATTGATTCCAAACAGTATTCTTGGTACAAGTATGAAATTTTAAGAATGTGATACTGGTAGCCCATGTTTCTCAGGCTGATATTTATCCACATAATATGTGTGTTTGTTTTTGACAGTCTGTTATATTTTGCTATGTATATATGGATCGATATTCCATTATAATTGACAATATGTTTTTGTCTGTCCACTAACTAAACAAACATGTCTGACCTTGTTGTCACATGACATACATCATTACAACCAATCATGTTAAGACTGTCTATTGATTCGTTCATTTTTGAACATTCGCTCATACACTTGTGTGACATTGATTTTCCTTGTTGTTTGTGAAATACAAGTATCATCGTGAACCTGGTGGTTTTCTGATTTCCGCCTTCTTGCGTCAGGACTATTAATTACTCGACCAGTACATAACAATAATTTGGCGACGGGGAAAACTATGGATCCTTCTAAATTGGAATTACTGTTTGAAAAACAAATGAAATTAATGGAAATGTTCGTCAACCAACAGACTGGTCCAACTTCACCTTCAAGCAACTCGAATCATACCATGCCACCATCTGTCGACGGCATTGTGAATAGTATTTCACAGTTCAATTATAATCCGGATGCGAATGTCACTTTTGACACATGGTATCAACGATATGAGGATTTATTCACAGTTGATCTCGCCTCACAAGACGATGCTTGGAAGGTGCGAGTGTCATTACGTAAATTGGGTCCCGCAGAATATGACAGGTACTGCAACCTAATTTTACCCTAAAAACCACGTGACAAGTGTTTCGATGATACAATAAAGCTGCTGCATGAACATTTTGGAGACCACTCCTCATTATTCAGCATACGTTATCGTTTCCTCAAGCTGACAATGAATGAAAATGATGATTTCCTTACTCACGTTGGCACAGTCAACCGAGAATGTGAGAGATTTCGACTCAGGTCCTTAACAGATGATCAATTCAAAGCCTTGATTCTCATATGCAGTCTTCAATCTCCTCGTTTCACAGATATCCGAACTCGACTGCTCAATCAGCTAGAACAAAATCCTAAGTTAACATTACATGACATAGCTGATGAATATCAACGGCTGATTAATTTGCAGAAAGACACACACCTGGTCGAATCAACACCTTCGAGAAGCTCTGATATTGATGCATTACGAAAGAGCAAAAATCTCTCATCATTCAGTCCTGATCCACCTTCTAATGTTCCACGAAAGCCTACACATACTAGTCCAACCTCACAAAATACCGCAAAGAAGACCCCACCATCACAATGCTGGCATTGTGGTGCGTGGCACTTTGTAAAGTCTTGCCCATACAAAAATCATCGTTGTAGCAAGTGCAAAATCATCGGCCATAAAACTGGTTTTTGTCAGCCATGCAAACCCAGATATCCTAATCCAGCGAAAGCTCGACAAACTGTGGCTCCTAAATCCCCAAAAAGGTCAATGAGTCTAGTCGCAACCTGTCAAGTCACAACACCAGCTATTCGGAAATATCTTGATCTTCAGATGAATGGTCATGATGCACGTCTGCAGATAGATACCGCCTCTGATATTACTGTTATATCAGAGAAACTTTGGAATAATATTGGCAGACCACTTATGACAAATACTTTTCAGACTGCTGTCAGCGCCTGTGATGGGCGGCTCAAACTAATTGGTGAACTCAAATGTTCTGTTTCATTCCGCAATATCAAATTCACAGGAATTTGTTACGTCACCAAGAGTGATTTAAATCTTTTGGGATTTGATTGGTTCGATCGTTTACATCTGGCTGATGTCCCACTTAGTTCTTTATGCAACGCAGTCAACGATTTTGTTCAACGATGTTCAAAATGTCAACAATCAGCAAAACTACCCCATCAGCTACCTCCCGTACCGTGGCCACCAGCAGCCCATCCTTGGTTCAGAATTCATATTGATTTTGCTGGCCCTACAAATGGTGCATATTATTTAGTGGTGGTAGACGCTTTTTCTAAGTGGCCAGAATTTATACCAATGGTTTCGCCGACAACGTCTCAGACTCTCAAAGCTCTCACTAACATATTCTCCCGTCATGGCCTCCCAGAAACCATAGTTGCAGACAATGGTTCGCAGTTTACCTCTCATCAGTTTCAGCAGTTCTTTCCTCAAAATGCTATCGAGCATATGCTCCCACCGCCGTATCATCCTCAGTCAAACGGCCAAGCGGAACGTTTTGTCGACACTTTGAAGAGAGCCTTACTCAAAGCAGAGGGAGAGGGGACACCATTTGACATCATCCAAAAATTCTTGATGGTGTACCGTACAATGGCGAATGAGTCAACACAGAACAAGAAATCGCCGGCAGAAAATCTTTACGGACGCAAACTTAGATCGATTCACAACTCAATGTTACCACTGACACCAAAACGTGCCGACGCATCATTTCGGAAATAAAAAAATTTTGATGTTGGTGACCCTATCTATGTCCGCGACTATCGAGCAGGACATATACCTTGGAATAAAGTTTCCACCTCAGCACGACGTGGTCGAGTTATGTTTGACGTGAAAGTTGGTAATGATTTATGGACCCGTCACTACAATCAGTTGCATCCAAGAAATTCAAATATCCCAACCAGTACACAGTCATCTCTACCTCTGGATATACTCTTAGATACTTTTAACTTACCTACGACTGACAAAACAGAAAAGCGAAATTGCGCAGCCCAGACAACTCCAGACAAAGTAGAAGCCGCAAACTTAACAAGCAGATGAAGCAACAGACGTCGACAACAAACTGGACGGTTTCAGATAAACCCCAAGAAAGCATGCTATTAATCATCAATCTTCTCAAAAGGGGAGGTGATATGTATCCACATAATATGTGTGTTTGTTTTTGACAGTCTGTTATATTTTGCTATGTATATATGGATCGATATTCCATTATAATTGACAATATGTTTTTGTCTGTCCACTAACTAAACAAACATGTCTGACCTTGTTGTCACATGACATACATCATTACAACCAATCATGTTAAGACTGTCTATTGATTCGTTCATTTTTGAACATTCGCTCATACACTTGTGTGACATTGATTTTCCTTGTTGTTTGTGAAATACAAGTATCATCGTGAACCTGGTGGTTTTCTGATTTCCGCCTTCTTGCGTCAGGACTATTAATTACTCGACCAGTACATAACACAGGCCGACCACTGATATCAGTTGTGCGTCCGCGAAGAGTCGAATTTCGGTCTGTGTGCATGGTCGGTGAGATTCGTAAGCACACTGCCATCGATTCACATAGAAAGTTAACTAATACAAATATTGAACCCAATAGAACATAGGGACGGTTGACTGAGAAGAATATGTGAATTATCATCAATGCAAATGTCAGCTGTAAGTGATTTTTATGAATGAAGTTCTCTTGTAGGTGTGAAGAATATTCACTGTAATTGCAGTCTGTGCAGGATTTCTTATCCTCTTGCTATTTATTGCGTCTGCACTATACAGTTTGACAAATATGCATACAAATGTACCCTACCACAAAAAATTAATGCAGTCTGAATTGAGAGCTCAAAGCCTGTATGGTTCTCACCATATACGATTTTCTCTATAGATAAAACCACAAGGATGTTAAGAACACAGCTGAAAATAACAGCTTACTGCCATTTTGTCTGGAATTTCTACAAACCTTCGTAACTTTAAAAAGAAAATAAGTTCCCTTTATGAATTTAGATGAAGCAATAAGCAGACGTAATTTGTCTGAATCGTGTGATGTATTTGAGCAACACATTTCGAACAATCTGATCACACATGGATTTAAAATTAATATGAAATTAATAAAAAGTAAAGAGGTGAGAAAATAGTCTTAGGTCAAGTTAAAACAAGCCCTGGATGCAAAATTCCGACCGGAAGAAGCTGGATTCAGGAGAAACAAGTCATGTATTGATCAAATCGCCACACTACGGATCATCATTGGACAAAGCTTGGAATGGCAGTAACCTCTCTATATCACTCAACTTCATCGACTTTGAAAAGGCCTTCGATAGCGCAGCGTCGATCGAGAGTCGATTTGGCAACTACTTCGCTACTACCAAGGGGTCCCATCGACAATTATACACCTCATCCAACAGTTATACGACAATGCTGCATGCCAAGTAATCCACAACGGGAAACTTACGGAAGCCTTCGAAGTGAGGACGGGTGTGAGGCAAGGCTGTCTACTATCACCAATGATCTTCCTGATTGCAGTAGATTGGATAATGCGACAGACAGCGGGTGGGGCAATGAGGAAACAGGATAAGAGACTTGCACTGCGCGTCATAAAGAGCATCTCAAACAAACTTCAGATCTTCATTAACAGCTGTCTTCGCTCAATACTCAAGGTGAGATGACAGACCAGAAGAGATCGGTAACAGGGATCTCTGGGAGCCAAACAACTCAGCAGGAACCGATTGTGAAACAAATAGGCAGGAAGAAATGGAGATGGATTGGCGGCCATTCCTCGAGGAAACCATCAAGTGACATCACTAGACAAGTCATTGCTTGAGTGGAACCTGAAAGGGAAGCAGTGAGTTGGTCGTCCCACGGTGGGTTGACTTGGAGGCGGTCATATGAAAAGGAGATGAAAACGTGTGGGCAGACTTGGAGCGGGGTAAAAATTTGGCAGAAAACAGAAGGCAATGGAGATGGGCAGCTGAAGCCATATGTTCCTCTAGGAATTAAAGGATACAATAATAATAATAATACAAGTTAAAACGACATGTTGAAGGTCATATTAACAATGAACATCACTAAACAAAATAACAGAGGTAATAGTACATATGCTATGGTATCAAAGGAAATTTATCACGGAAGGCTTAGTATGATGATAAATTGTTTTTGAAAGCAAAAAGGTGACCTGAACTTTCTAATCCACAAACTCTAGGATACGCCCTAAACACGTTTTATAGATAAGTTTAAAATATGTGTTAACGTCAATTTCATGTCCTGTCTGCTCTATGATATGTTTCGCAATAGAGAAGCTAGCTGTCGTTTTCTCACCATTATTGGGTACTGAAGATCCCATTTGTTTCTGGAGCTATTTAGGAATATTCTCTGAAGCCCTTACCTGCAGAGATCGATCAGTCCTACTTATGTATGTGTGTCCACACGTACATTCAAATTTGGTTAATACAGTGGGATGTGACATCATTTATTCGCAGGTTCAAAGGGCTTAGATGGATGGATATATTGCCTTCAAATTCTCAATTATTATGATATTAGCTGCATAAAAAGCAGCGATCAGTCTTTGTCTAGTTATCAAGCTGTTATGATACCTCATATAGGGCAGCTTGATGTACACACCTTTCTTAGCGGCGAGTTGGAGAATGCGTCTTGGTGTTGTGACTACTTTATATCTCTTGATGAACTTGTCTGGATAACTGTTATCGACCAGAGTTTGTGTCAACTTTCTTTCTTCTTTATCAAGTGTGTCTACAGTGCATATTCGTTGGATTCTACTGAAGAGGCACCTAGCTGACTAAGGCTCTGTTGTACTGAACAGGGCAAAAACTGTGGTAATTAAGATACTGTCCTGTTCATGTAGGTTTTCTATAAATAGATCTGTTTATTGATCTATCAAGCCGTCGGCCAAGCAAAATGTCTAGGAAAGATAACACAATTATCTTCCTCTTCTATAGATGTAAGCGATATGCTATTCTGAACTTCATTCCTTCTATTTTAAATTGTGGTGGAAGAACAATACTTTCACGATTTAGACAAATTACGTCTTCTTATTGCTTTAGCGAAACGCATAATCTTGTTTCTATCTCTTCCTCAATTGACAGATCATGTTCACTTGTGTCAGTATCCACAAATGGCTGATGTGGTGGTTTGCACCTCAACCTACAGAATTTATTCTGGCTGTCGTGATTTGGTTTCTAATGCTAGGCCTCTTCACTGAAACGTATACTGGCATTACATCATGCTTACAGAAAGACAACAACAATAAACAGAAATCTGTTGTTGGAAGATACCCGTATTAACAGGTTAAATGTGTCCCTTTTTCTGGATTGTAGTGTGCTGTTGTGATTACGTACATTAATAAATTTCTGTGTTTTGTAAAATCAAAATTGTGTAAGCATCCAATGCACAAACAGAACAGAATAAGCCTATGTGGCTCCTTCTCACTTATCATTTTTACATTGACCATTGTCTTGAAAATGTAATTTGAATCTTTAGAATACTTTAATCATTTCCAAGCAAAAGGATTACCTTGTGAACGTTTGGAGGGTTGTCGTGTTAAGACTGTTCGCATATTTTGTTCCTACAGTGATTACAGTCATTCATTTCTCCGTTTACAATATCACAACAATCAACTATTGACGTAAGTAATCCACATAATCAATTAAGTAGGGTTCACTCAGATAGACACGTGTCCTCCTGTAATTTATTGAGAACCCACACATAAGAATGACTAATGTAATAATCTCGGCTGTGGTTACAACATTGAAAGATCACTTCAAACTACAGGAAACATTTCATGAGTGACTTTCCTTTGTTTGACCAGAACTGCAGGCAACCAGACGAACAGGATAACTATTCAGCCTAACTTTGGCCATTCATCGATATGTAGCGACAACGCCAAGGCTATTTCATCAGTCCTCATATGCAACTGGGCGAAAGATGTTGATGGCGGACTCTCACTCAAACTTCATGTATCCCTATCCTAAAATTGATCACTAGCCAGCAGATCACCAGACAATGGAACCGATGGGTCATTGGACTTACCTTCAGTGACTGAGCGATATGAGGGATGTCTTTGTAAGCTGAAAGTCCTGCGTTTTATCTGTTATGCATCGGTAGCACAGCGGTTTGGACTCTTGCCGATCATGCACATGGTCCTAGGTTCGGTCCTCTGCCGACGCTAATCTGATATCTATGATCGGCCTGCAAAATTTAGTCTACCGATATCACATGCTTAAAATTCCATACGCGCAACAAAAATACGGTGTGCAATCAAGCTGTAATCAAAAAAGTGGTGTGCGTGAAATGCTCAAAAACTCTCAGACGTCGACGACACATTCATCCGACACTCAAGGGTTTTCTGTGATGAGGTTGGTTCGCGATTAAAATAAAAATAAGTGAAATCCCTGCAAACCTATCAGTAGTCTCATTGTGTACTCGTTTAATATTGGTAAAGCGAATGAGACTCATTACTACAAATTTTCTTGAGATTTCAAACACGGAAACAGAAGGAACGATGAAACCATTATTACATATATTCTAGCTGCATAGGAATGTTCACTTAAATATCCGCCTTTTAACCTAACACAAACGGAATGATAGTAGATAGATGAAACTTTTTCTGATGTTTGTGTCCTTGACTGAAGTTTACCACAATGTGACGCTTAACAATTCAATATTCAGAAGTGACATTCCCGGTAGCAGGCCGGTCCCAGAAATAGCATGAAAATGGTTCCCTCTTGAGGTCTGCCAACACAATTCGTTGTTCAAATATTTTCTATTCCTCGGATAAAGCATACGGGAAAATGTACACATTTTTAGCAACTAATTCAAATATTATTTTTAAAATTTATTCGTATAGTAATTCGTTTTAACTAGGTGTAACGAATTATTGCAAACGAATGTACCAGGATAAAATCAATTCATTATTTATTTTGTGGATTCTTTCTACAACCCAAACAGGATTATGTAAATAAATAAATAAATAGATTGATTCTCATGGTACAGTACATGAGGGACGCCAGTTTACAGGCATCATCAAATTGTTACAGAAATAGAACCATATTATTCAGTCACATTTTACAATCGATAGCAAAATATGTTTAACATGTACACTGGAGATTATACATACACTTGATAAATGTTAATCCCAATAGTATAAAACATCCTTTTCACTTATGTACAATCATTTCTGTGCATAGTTGGAAAAATCCGCTAGATTGTCGGTGAGTGCAACACATCAGGAAATACAGAAGTATTGTCTTCGCATTAACAAAAAAAAACCAGGTCTTTGGTGGATGGGTTATAAGTGCCTGGGAAAAAAAATAAAGCTTGAAGTCAATTTTCCTACAATACTTTGTTGTGTGCAGAATCCTTGATTTATAGTTCATTGATGTGTTATTTTGAAATCAGTGATTTGTTTATATTTCATTTGATCTGCAATGTCATTGTCGGGAGTAAAATACATAAGCTTCGGAGGCATTAATTAATGGATTTCTACTGCTTGTGAGTATTTACTTCTCGTGAGGAGGGTTTTTCAATTTTAGTTGTTCCGACGAGAGTTTTGAATATTAACTGCTCAGCAACATTACGGATATAAGTTCATCACATTATCTTAGGAATAATGGGTTGTAGTCGGTGAGGCATATATGATGCCCAACGAGCGTACATCTGTCCATGTGATGTTGCGGTGAGTTATACCTTTTTCATGTTGTCGGTTTATGTCCATTTTATTCCACTTATTGTGTTGGGTAGAAGTTTTACAAACGAAACTTCTTGTCTGTTTGAGGGTAAATAGCTTAATTGTTAATGTTTTATCTAAAATTATAAATATAGGCAAAAACAACAGGTGTAGTATTTGAGCTTATACATTAAATGGACCTATTATTTCGGAGGCTGTCAGATAGGAACTAGGACTACTGTCGTTTGCAAACTCGTGTAGTTTGTCGTTAAGCTCTTTTTTGAATGAGGCCAATGTACCTGCTTGACGCATTTCCATTGGTAGTTTATTCCATATCTGTGCATACCTAATCAAGTAAAACTTTTGCCTGGTGGCTGTTTTACATTGTTCAATAGCTACTGTACCCTTGTGGTGGACCTTTCACTCGGTTAGCTCAGTTACCCAAATTCAAATAGAAAATAAAGTACCAAATCAGTTTAGTTACGGGAAGAACATATTAAAGTTCCGTTACTTGGGTTTACAAAGATCTAAAATCCACAATAAACGCAACAGACTCCAGAGGCTCTGCGGAAAGACTGCTCCAGTACTAATTCTCCAATGTTGACGTTGCCGGAGGTCGACCAAAGTACGTAGGAAGAATTACGGTGCTCCTGCAAACATTTGAGATAGAAAGCAGGTTGTTATAATTGATCGACGGCAGTTGAGATGGTGGAGAAGATGGAGAGTCGAAAGCAGAACTATATTCTCATTCAAAACCCGAGGTAAAGTTCAAAGTACAGAGTTTATGGTTAAAACAAAGTAGTGTACAATATGTTCATTATTTACATAGTAGTAAAATTTGGATAAGTTTATTTTTGAGGACTCCACACCCTTAGTGTGTCTTAGTTTGTAGCCATTGTCATCTGAAAATCGAGTGCCATTAGTAGAGGTAAAAACTATATCCTATGTTCCAACTTGATGAGGAAAAACTGGTCACAGCTATAAGTAATAGAAGTCTGAATTGGTGTTAACCGGTTAATTGTCAGGAATAAACAATTAGAGCTTGAAACGACTACCGTATAGTTTGAGTCTAACTGGGACTAAAACCACCAGCCGATGAAGATGCGGGTATATTCGCTTGAAGAGTCTCACAAAAGGTGCATTGAACATCCTGTATGTTTTGATGTGGTTGTGTTCTGTGAGCAGGTGGATGGTTGATTTGCGAAGCTTTCATCACCCTACTAGGTGACATCTTCAGCGCACACTTCAATCTGTTGAAGTGAGCTTTTAGATTTCTCCACGAGTTTATTAATCATCTCTCCTGGTGGGTGACCTTGGACGTGATTGGTTGTTTTTGTGTGTTCTCACAACTTCTAGGTTCCTTGTATTGGAACTGATAGTTTCTTTGACTTGAACTTTGACTCTTTGTGTGTGAGGTTTCTTTCTTATCGGTTGATATATTTTGTCTATCTCCATGTGTCTATCGATTGATGATTCACTGGAATACCAGGCTACGAGAAATTCTCTAGCATTCTTATTGTTCCCTCTGTCTAATATTTGAACGTTGCTCCAGTCGAATTAATGTCCGTGGTTGTCTGTGTGTAGTGATATGAGGGAGTGGATATCATGCCTCTTGACGGCTAGCTTATGTCCGTGGATACGAAGACGAAGGGGACGTCCACTTTGGCCGATGTAGTGTTTTTCGCAGTTGTTACAGTTTATTTTGTAGATGATGTTGGTTTTGTCTTCTTTCGCTGTTGAGTCTTTTGGTTGACATAGAATTGAGTGAAGTGACTTTGTTGGTTTGTGTACGACGTCAATTCCTAAAAGTTTGAAGAGTCTTGTAGTGATTTCTGAGATATCCTTTATATATGGTAAGGCGATTTTCTTTGTGTTTTCCTTGGGGGCTTTTGGTTTGATAGGTTGACTAAGGGGTATATGTCATTTCATGAAGCTACGTGGATATCCATTCATTTGGAAGACGTCCATTAGATATTTTTCTTCAATGTTCGTTAAGGTGGATTGGCTGCAATGAGTCCGTGCCCTCTTGAATAGTGTTTGTATGCAATTCCTTTTGTGTGTTATTGGATTGTTGCTGTTGTAATTCAGGATTTGGTCTGTGTGAGTTGATTTTCTATAAACCTGAGTTTCTAATTCCCCTTAGTAACCATAGCTCCTACAACTCCATCTGTCTCTTATCCTACTTCCCATTTAAGTTGTACAGGAACTTTGTTCAAATCAGCAGTAGCATTCATTCGCCCAATCTCATCATGATGAGCCGAAGACAAATGAGCACTATCATGACCATTGTCACAAATATCCAATATACAGATGTTTTTATGGTCAGATACATCAATTTCAACCATTTTATTTAGAGCAGTAGACAATTTGGGTTCTTCCCCATAAATCCTTAAAGGTTACATGCCTTTACTCTGACTAGTAATGACTTGTTAACTTATGGAGTCAGAACTAGACTCTGAACCTGTAACTCTCTTCTCCTGCACAAACTGCGGTGTCGTCTGTGACACTCTATTCAACAATGGGTTACCAGTTGCAACTACAGGCTTCTTCACTGCACCGTTATCGCCACACAATTCGGAGTCAGACCTGGATTTCACATTTAGCTTACCACTAAACTTGGTCACTTCTTCACAGTTCGCTTTTTTATGCACTTCTTGCAAACGTGTAAAACACAACGGCGTCTGTCTCGCAACTTGTTACCTATCTGTTGTGGATGTCCCGCG